AGTCTGGGAACTGAAATTTCAGTTTCAGGTTAGCTTATTTGGAGCTCTGTACATCCCAAACCAGGACGAACCAGTTCATTGACCTTTAATATAAGTTGTAGTACTCCTTAGATATACAACTTGTATTATCGAGAGGTTTTGCTCAAACCATTTGGATTAGTGCGTAGAAGGGGCGAAGAATGCACTTTCGATCGATCGGTTCTTGAACTGCAGAATTTGGTTTTGAGGTACCCTACTTTGAAGATCCATATCTACAAATATAGGCCGAACTAGTTCTTGATCCTTAAACCAATGTTGTTCACCTCACAAAGATATACAACTTTGCCTCTTGCGCCGTGATCCCGGGACCATTTGATCGGGAGATAGAGGTTGGGAAAAATGGAGTTTCAGGTTATACGTTTGAGGTGGTATTTTTAGCTCTCACCGATTTCAAACTGAAAGATCACCGACCGAAGCGCAGGACGCCATTGCGCGTGGCCTCGTCCCTGGTTCGCATGACCGCCACCTCGCCCTTGCTCGTCGTTTTAGCGGCCGAGCCCGAGCTTGCTCCCTCGTCCTCTCCATTCGCTTTCTCTCCGTTTCTCTCTCGGTCGCTCTCGCTCGCCCTTGCCTCTCGCTAAAGCACCAGAGAGTGCAGTGCGGTCGCCATGCCCACCTTTGCCGGCCGAGCGGAGCTTCCACGCCGCCCGCTCTCGCTTCTTGCTGCGTCCTCCTCGCCCGCCAACCGTCGGCTCCTTTGCTGCCAAGACGCTGCGTGTTCGTTCGGTCCAGCGTTGCGGGGACCAATTGATGCCGCGGGCAGCCATGGACGCCGCCAAGCCAAAGCTTCGGGCCGTCGCCCGACGAAAGCACGTGGCTGCTGCATTGCGCCCTACCATGGCGCGAAGCGAGCCCCCACCATGGCGTACTGTGGCTACCCGGTTTCGCAGCTGCTCGTCCCTTCGCCGCCGTCATACCACGTCGCGCCGCCGTTAGTCTCTGCGCAGCCGAGCCGCATGCACACGTGGCCAACCTCCACACTCCTCCGGGCCGAGCCGAGGGCACCATCAGTGCGCACGGGACCATACTTGCTCTCCGCCACTGTCGCCATCGATTGCCGCCTCTCCGCCGGATTCGGTGAAGTCCAAGGCCTCCTCCGCTTTTAATTCCGACCAGGGACTTCATGCAACAATTAGGAGAAAGGAGGGTCCTATCTCGCAATGTTATAGACTCATATGAATAGTGCTCCAAGGGACCTATTTGTTTTAAATCGGCTGAAAGTTTGGAAAATCATAATAAATCATAGGAAATTCGTAAAATAGCAAATGAGGACTTTTTGGAATCCTTGTGAAATTATCTATGTAGTAGATCTATAATATTTCATGTTTTAGTTTAAAGTTTTAGCTGTAAAAATAGATTTATGCCTCTAGGTTTTTAATTCTAGTTGTATTTGTCTTTTCATAACTAAAGATCTAGGGCTCCAAATGAAGTGAAATTTTGTGGCATGCTACTCATGTGATGTTTGATGTGTGGTAAAATTTTCATGGTCATTGGTTGCTGTATGAGTGAGTTATTAGTTTATCTTGCTCTCACATGATTTCTTGCTTTAGCATTTTGTATTTTCCATAGAGGTTGCTATACATATTCAAATGGAGTGAAATTTGTAAAGTAGACTAATGAGAGGATATGTGAGCCACTGTAATTTTGTAGAATTCATTGTATACTTTTGGTATATGTTCATTAAGTCACCTTGTGATCTAAAATAAATTAAGAAATGCATTAAAAGAATTTATTTGGCCATGGACACTAGGTTTTCTGGTGTTGTTTAGTCATGTGTGACATGTTGGTAAAGTTGGTTTTGCCTAATTATGTGTTTGCAACATAAGTTAATATTTATTTTCTTGCAAATGTGGTTTATGGACAGATCTGGGAACCTAGCAAAGTTCTTCATGCTAATGTGCTTTGTTGTGAAACTTGTTTATACAAAAGTTGTATATAATTCATGTATCTAGCTGCTGTTAAAATTTGGTGGCATTTGGCCTTGTGGTTTGTGAGTTATGCCAGTTTAAAGTTGGGTTCCAGAAATGGCTGCTCTCTGTTTTGTATGAACCAGTTTCTGTAAAGGTATAATTTCGACCTGCTTAACATGGGAATCATGCTGTGATGGTTATATATGAAATGTAGATAATTTCATAAGCTTTCTAAAATGTCTTCTTGCAAGTCATTTGGATTTGTGTAACTCCAGTTATAGCTAAATCTTGTAGCTGCTGTTTGCATGTCCAGAAATTGGCAGATTCCAATTATAGTGTTTGCTTGTATATTGTTAAGTGTGACTTATGCCTTGAATGATGATTGAGTTAGAGCACCTGAGATCTTGGAAAACTTGTGTCATGCTTGGTGTTGTCGTCTTCTTTGCCATCTTAGCATGATAGGTTGTGTGATGTTAGTTAAATAGCTATTGGTGTCTATGTCTTGCATAATCTTGTGTTTGCCTTAAATGCTTATGTGTGATGCATCTTGTGTTACCATTCATCACATTCATACACATGCATCTTGCATCTCATTTAGGTGCGCTAGATGCACCACGTGAAGGATGAGATGTTGGAGCCAAACCTGGAGACGGCGTTTGATGGACCTATCCCGAAGGTGGAAGGATCGGACAAGTGCTAGGACCCGAGATGTCACCAAGACGGTGCAAGCTAACCGAATCGACTTTGTGTCGGATCCAGTGCAAGCCCGGAGCATTCTAAGTCTCCCATGTTTTTACAAATATATTGAGTATCTCTTATTGTTGATGATGCATTAAGTATAGGAATTGGTTGGAACCAATTGTTGCATTATATCCCTACCTTGTCCAGATAAAATCTCGTGAATCCTAATTAAGTGTAGGATCGAATGATGCTTAGCTATGCATAGACCGGTAGAAGTCGGGTGATTTTGTCACACCGCGAGATGTAGGATGAGCTCGGTCACGGTTGGCTATATTTGCTATCATGAAAAAGAACCATGTGTTAATAATGAAAGGAGACCGGACGGGATGATGGTAGTGCAGCAACAAGGCATGGAGGTCTTGGGTGTGAATCTATCCCCGTCTCAGGTCGTTTAAGGACCGATACTGTTGTATGTCCTCATGTCATGTTGAACATGAGCCCTAACACTTAGCTGGCCGGATAAGTCGTTCGACCGCGAAGCCTAGTAGCTCGACTCAAAGTAGGGGGACGCGAGCGATGGCGGCATTCGGAGGTAGTAAGGATGTGCGGAGAGCCATTGGCATAAGTCCAAGGCGGGTTAGAGTCCCGAACAACCTTGGCGAGTGGTTCTCCGAGAATGTCGATCTGTTCGGACTCGTGACTCTGAATCGTACCAAAGGTGACTCGTTTGCGACCACGACGGGGAAGCGGGGTTTGTGTTTAGGAATACCCCTCCAATTTGGATAGGAATCGATTGAATCGCCGTCTCTCCGGATAGTGAGAACTTGACCGAGCGGTGACAACGTAGATTCACTAAATTTAAAGATATGGTTAAATGATGATGATGATGATGATGATGATAATGACAATGAGCCATGAAATACGATATGGTTATTATTGTTTGCAACTTAATCAAGTGATTGATTAGTACAGTGCTAATATAGATGGTAGGTAATGGCTAAAAGTCACCGCTAGTGCGGTGAATAATGCTATTGGTTACTCAAGCTTTTATGCAAAAAAGGTTGTCCAACCAGATCCACTAAATTAAGCTATGCATGATCCTTGGTGTCATTTGTTTTGGTTTTCGACGGGTAAGTCATTTGAGTACATTCGAGTACTCGGGGTTTATCCCACCATGTTGCGGTGGAGTTCTCTACTGTTGAAGATGGTGGCTAACCGTCTGGTGGGCTCGGTGATTCTATAGTTACTTCTCATCTATATGCTTTTGTCGGATGATGTCACTTATGCTAGCAATATATTTGGACCTTATATTAATGTAATCATTTGAAAGCTATGTTGTTTTCACTAAGCGGTTTTGAAACCCAAACTTGTACTTTTATTTGTGAAACCTTATGTAATATTATTTCCGCTGCAACCCTGTGTATGTGATGTGTATTTGCTTAATCACGCGATCTTGGTTGTGATGTTGATTTACCGAGGTCTTTTGGGACACTCGGCGGACTACCGGGTTTATATAAGTGAAAGTATGTGTGTGTCAACGTGTTAGCGCGGACAACCGTACTTGATCTTGTATAAATTGGGCGGTTCTGTTACACACCGGACTGGCCTTGGGCTGGAACTACAAACACATCAAAGTAGTTAAAACGATTGACACGAGCAGTTCGTTTAATGGTGGAGTTTCTGGTTTCGGAGATGAAACATACCTGCGCATTGGTTGAAGTTAGTAGCCGGGCGAGATGTGTCATTTTCGAACTACGAAGGCTCCCGCCCAAGCCTAAGTAGTTCCAGGCCAGTAGACTCATGGCCCCCGTGGCGCCTTGAAGGCTGGCGCCGGAGCCTGAGTAGTAGCGTCGTGGTGGTCCTGTAGAGTAGTGGTTGCCTCTTGTGTACTCTGTGGCTTTTGGGGAACTTTGCTTTGGCCTTGACTGTCCTCAACCTGGTATTGTGCTGCACGCCTGCACTACCTTCCTTAGCTGCATTGGTCTGGTGTTGCTGCTGCAAATCGATGAGTTTGTGCATTATCCATGTGGTCGAGATTGGATCCTTGGAGCAGAGCAGCAGGTTTGGAGTTGGGCGTTCGTTTCGTTGTTGGTTAGTGAAGAAGTACAGCTGGCTGGTTTGTGTGAGAGAAAAATGTTATTCTGACTAAAAATTTACGATCGTTTACGACAAACCACAGTCAAACGAACAGATTGTAGACTGTGGAGTTGGAGGCTTGGAGCCCTGTACTACTGGACCGCTAGAGCAGAGGCCGCGCAGCACCTGCGGCCGCACCTGCAGCACCCGTCAGCCATCGCACCAGCAGTCCCGCAGGGCCGCAGCACCCGTTAGCCATCTCACCCGCAGGGCCGCCACACCCGCCGGTCGTCACTAGTGTCGCAGTCGCACCTGCCTCGCCGTGCCGCCAAAGCCACCTTCAACGCCACGACTTCTCCTGCTAGATCGGAACCAGAGATGAACAGGAACATCCTGGGCATGAAGGGCCGCGAGATGCCGTTGTGAGACTTCCAGTCGACAACGTTGACTCTGGTGGCCCCCATCGTGATGAGCACCTGGCCTATCTTCAGCGACGGGATCGGCACCTCCACATGCTGCTCGCACTGCCGAAGGCACCCGCAACAGCATCCTCTGCTCGCGCCTCCGCAGCTCATTGATGGCTTCATAGCTCTGCTTCCATGCGTTCCGAAGTTCGATTCTGACAGGCTGTAGCTTGATCTCTGCTGCAGTCCCCTGGGGATCCGCAACTTTCGTGAGCAAATTGTGGCACGTGTCCACTGCATCTTGTTGTTGGCGATGAAAGCTTTTGGCAGCACATGATGAGAGCTGCAAAGCTTGCAGAGACCTCGGAAGGTCCGCATCAGAGAGAATCAGAGTGTTGTTCGATGTGTTTATCTGGAGTGGTGGAGGTGGATCAGGAGGTGAGGGTATGATTGGAGGATCTGGTGGCTTGGGAACAATGGGTGGCGGGTCGATCTGACGTTTTCCATGTCGATGAGAGGAAATAGGAAATGAGCGAAAGAGGCAAGAATAGAGGTTCTTGGGGATTCATCAACCAGATAAAGCATGTTGGGAAAGACAGAGCGGTGAATCGGCTGCAGGCGGTGGATTATGCGAATAGGCACGGAGGGAGCGCGCGAGGAAAGAGGGAGATGGATTACCGGGCAGGAGACGCCGCTTGAGAAGCCTGAGATTTGGGCAGAGGTCGATCTCAGGCAGAGGCAATCAGATGGATCTACAAATTAGCGGAGCAGCAGTCGATGTACGATTTAATCTTGCAGATTAGCGGATGAGCAGTGTGAGGGAAGCGGATTGGGGATGGAAGGGGATCAGGAAGGAAGAGAACCGGCATATGCCTACTACTCACCACCGATATACCACATAGAGAGGGATCCAACACCACGAGCTAACTACCGATTTACCTATCGGCATCATTGGAAACCGATATAGCCACTGGTAACCTGACAAATAAGACGTGCATTAACCTTGTGCTATATTATCCGCAAAAGTTTAAGCCCTTTGATGCCATCCGCACGAGCAACATTCCGCTGCCTGACGCGGCAGATGGTTTTTTGAGCCACAAACCACGGAAGGACCCGGGCAACAAGCCAACAACAGCTAATCAGCCACACTGACTGTCCCAATCCATATAATCTGTGACTTTGCTGTTAAGTCACTCCTCCGTGCAGGATATAAGTTAAGTTCGGATGCGGCAGCGGGTGAACGTCCCGCGGCTGCCAAAGTGAAAAATGAGGTTTGGACTACAAAACTTAACGGTGCAGTTAAATCCAAAGATATGTCATTGGAGCAACAAATTTAAATAGCACAGTGCATTCTAGTAGTTGTTACAGTTTGATTTGACAACCATGCCCAACAGCAGTAGGCATGTACTCCGAAACGAGTACTGTGCTTAACCTAGACGCCCATATTAGTGAGCAAAGTGTTCCAGCCAAAAGAAACTTCATCCATGGAGCGGCCCACCAGTTAAGCCGATCAAATTTCCTATTTCTAAAAACCAAGCCACTAGATCAAGCCACATCTGCAGTAGAAAAGAAATATCATGAATCAGTTAATCAAGTACTACACATGAAAACAAAATAGGTGCCAGAACCATCATGATAACCTAAGATTAACATGTACAATTTATTCCTGAGTGATTGGCATGTTTACCACCAATGAGTCTAAAATTTTTAACACTGGCACAAGGCTTACCATTAAATGATATGAATAAAGTCGAATTTGATTAACAGAAGGACACAAGCGGCATTATAAATACTAAGTGAAAAAAAAATGAATCTATGCTATCCTTGCAAAATGGCCAACCCATCGGCTCATCCCATGTCGAGCTAACCTGCTCAACATTTTGTATGATCATATGAAGACAATTAGAACTAAATGAATGAATCCTATGTTACAAACAGAAGGGCACAACAACATTTAATAACTGGACTGCCCCACCAAAACATGGAGCAGCCAAAAGAAATCCAACAGCAGCACCATTCTGATCACCCATTCCACTAACCTTGGAAGAAGGAAAGGAAGACTCTTTCAGTATGCTGAGCATAACGTCCAAGGTTCTGGCGCGAATCAAGCGGCATTCCTCAGGCTCGTGCCGTGTGAAAAAGCTGAAGGTGATAAGCTTGTCCTCTTTTTATCCAATCACACATCAATTTGCACTCTTTTGTGATGCCCTTTAATTGAAGCCATTGGTGCAGTAAGTGCCGGTAAGTATTAAACATAGAAGAGATGGAGGATGCTAGTTAAACCTAAGAGTGTTTTGGCAGAGGTGGCGTGATGCGGGCAGGCACTTACCACCATGGCGGCGGCGGCATCAATGGCACGGGATCCTTGTAGGTGCATAAGGCTCAAGGCGCACATGCGGATCATGCTGCTCTGCTGGATGATGCCATCAGTAGGCTCAGCACGATGCTTTAGAAGCTCACATATCAGGTCAGCCTCCTTGCTAATACACTTGAAACCAAAGTTTTGCATTAGTCAAAAGCCATAAAAGAAGTACTACATTACTGAAAGTGCATGTGCTGAGTTGGATAAAAAGGAGTAGTGAAACAGTGAGCATGTAGGGCTCAGGGCCAAGTTGGCACAATTAAAATGGCACCACAACAAATAGATATAAAGTCTGCAACAATAAAAAGTTAAAAGCTTAGATCGAGCACCGTTTTGCAGCAAGAAGCAGATCACAAACATTAGATGACAGTACATTGCTTGCCAATTTTGAACTGTGAAGACAGGACTAGAAACCCTCCTCCACGCCCCCCACACACACACACACCCAAAAAAAAAAGTCATGCTTTTTTTTCCTTTCTGATCTGGTCAGTAGCTAATTGTCAACAGCAAAACACGTTTGGTCAGTAGGACTAGAGAGTAGTAGTACTTCTGCGGTGAATACGACGCAAATTTTTGCTTTGTTTACGCCCCGTTTGAGGCACATACCGCAAAAGCAACAGGAAGTCCGCCCTCTTCAGCAAATATGATTGAATGTGCATGCTTCTGGATCAGGTTACTCTGAACGATAGTGTTGACAGGCAAGATCACAATCGGGGAACGCAGCACCCGAGTGTTCCACAAAGACACAAGTTCCTCCTCCCTCTTGAGACACTATTTGACAACCAGTTTATTCAACAAAGCAAGAAGACAAGCAAAGAAAAAAATTAGGAGGTTTTGACTGATGGTTTAGAAAGGGCAGTTGTATACTTACAACTTCGGCCGAAGCAACCAAGCTGCCAGTAACTTCAGCAACTTCACTGGCATTGCGCTTGGAATACTGCCGAAGGTAAGTCAGACCACTCAACAGAACTCTTCAATGGCAGCAGCCTGTCCCACACCCATGTTTTTTCAAACACATCTTTTCAAAAGAGTAACAACAAGGAAAAAAAGAATCATTAAATCTTTTGAAACAACAGTATTAAGACAATGAATCATGCTTGTTGATCGGATATAAATAACCACGATTGGGGGGGAGATAAAGAAACGGCAACACGCATGGGCTTGACAATCAAGGGGACGCACCATAAAAAACAACTCGATATCTATGATTCCATTGGGCCCATCCGAACTTTGGGCCTCTTCTTTGGGCCCAACTTCAATAGTTGGGCCTTCCTAACTTTTTTGCTTTTGTGTAGATTTTTTTTATTTGTCATGCTGGAAACTTCTTTAAGTAAGCTTATTAGTCACTGCAAAGACATTCTAGGGGTTTGGAATCAGCAACCTCCAGTGCTATATACTTGGGGTCCATCTGGTTTTCTGACTATGCTTACATTTTTTATGATACAGGAACACGTTGGAAGCTACAACTGTCAACTGCGCTGTTATCTTCAATTACCCTAACTACCGCAGCATATTCCCCATTTGGGCTCTTGGAGTATACAGCCAGCATCTTCATGCAACGAAGAGAAATGGGTTCATGTGAGCATAACATGGTGACAAACAGGTGCATGGCTATGAACTTTGACATATATGCTCAGAACCATGCTGCAAACATTGCCCTAAACAAATCCACACAGCTGTATCTCCAGAGACAGGTAAAATGATATTTGCTTTCATGTATCAGTATATCACAAATACTTGTAATAATTTGAGACTGTAAAGTTATAGCTTGATGTTGGATGTTGCTCTGAACCTACCTACCTCCTAGAACACGCAGGTGCATGTAGAATCGGATCACGTGAAAAAATGTTGTGACAAAAATTAAGTGGACCAAAGGAATCAAATAGCATATCCTTGTCAGATGCTTTCAGCGATGATGTGGTGTCGCCCTCAGCTGCATCATCTCAATCTCAGCTCAGAGTTTTCATGTATCTGCACTGCTCTGAATGTTGTGGTGCCTTTCTACAGTGGCGCTTCAAATCTGCAGATATTTGATTAAATGCTTATGTTTAAGCCACCTTATTTTATTTTGCAAACTCCAAATCCTACATGGACTAGAGAAATTAATATGCACATAAAAGAATTTACCTAAATTTAACTTGATCAGAAGAGCACTGAGAGGAAGAAACGGCATTCACTGAGCTCCTCGTGGTGCGTGCTGCTTCCTATTTGCCAGCAAATCAGCTCAGTACTTGGATGGGGAGAAAGCCACCTCTCTAAACACAGTATAACTCACGTAATCAGATTATGCTCTATGGCATTCCATTTATATTTGCCTGTCTGGTGATAAATAACAAGGACACTTGTCGTTTAGATCATAGTCCTGTTGAAAATGGTACTAAGAAAGTGGATGTTGCTTAGGGATGAGTCATGAGTCTCGAAGTGATTAGCAAGGGATGAGTCATAAGTCTCCAAGTGATTAACAGCATAACTCACGTAAGGCAGCAAGGGACGAGTCATCAGTCTCCAAGTGATTTGCTAAACGAGATCTGCTTTCAATTTTATATTGTACAGTATTATATTAATGTGTCACATTACTCACTTATATACTGTGATACATATTGTCGTAGCTATCAATGCCCTTCTAGAATAAAGTCGGAAGTGTACAAGTTGAATATATACTGTCATAAACTATGGTGTGACAGAAATTAAACATGGATGGAAAATTGGAAATTATAATAATCAAAACTATCTCGATCGAGGCTTTAACTGGTGACGTATAACTGTTTGACTGACTTGAGTGCCAACTGCCAACTGTCAATAACTCCCAGGAAATGTGACAGGTAGCTAGGTGTAGGTCGAATCAGAAGTTTCTGTGCAATTAAAAGTCGTCGAATCAGAAGTTTCTCTGCAATTAAGGCCCTGTTTTAGATCCCACCCAAAATCCAAAAATTTTCAAGATTTTCCCACCTAGGGTTTCAAATCAAATTTCGGGGAGGATGGGCACAGCAGAGTGGCTGCATTGCAACCATGCAATTAAATGTAGGTAAAAAGAATAACTAATTGCACAATTTGCCCGTAATTGGCGAGACGAATTTTTTAAGTCTAAATAGTGCATAATTAGACAATTTTTACCAAATACAAACAAAAATGCTACATTAGCCAAAAGCCAAAAAATTTTCATCTAAACCGGGCCTTAAAAAGCCTTTCGGGACAGTTAGCTCCAAAAAAAAAAACACCTCAAGGTTCAGCTTCAATGGCGTCCTGTCCTGCCGGCTGCAGCAGCTGGTGGCTTAGCTTTGACTTGTCAATAATTTGCACCCTTGCTGCCTTCACGTACGCAGCCGGCGGTAAGGCTGCTGCCTGCCTGCCCGGTGGTGATTAAGTTTCTTGTGGAGCATGTATCAGCGATGAAAAAATCTGAAAGGACGATGCGGTGATGAGTCTCCAAGTGGTCAGCAAAACGAGCTCTGCTGCTTTCAATTTTTATGGCATATATGATATATCAATAATGTGTCTATTCACAAATATACACATATATATATATATATATATATATATATATATATATATATATATATATATATATATATATATATATATATATATATATATATAGCTCCGGTGGGCACAACGGCAACGGAATCGGAGGAACCGGAGATCGAGTGGAGGAGGATACACCAGTGGGCTACATCTGCCTGCTTCTCCTGTGAGGTCAGCAGTAGCATAGGTACATCTATAATGACTTATTGGACGCACTTTGACCGTGGCGGTGTCGCTGTCGACGGCGCGGAGCAGGGACGGCAGGTTTAGCGGCTGCGAGGACGATATTGGGCGGCGGCGGAAGACGGGCTGCTGCGGCGCGGGAGCGTGGGCGCACCCGCCGCCACATTTGGAGGTGAGAGGCCAAATTTTGGTAAAGTTCGAGGGCTTTTTTGAGAGGAGGCCTGGACTGAGGGTTGATTTGACTAAAGTTCGAGGTGACCGCTCGACTGGACCGTCCGCGCGCCCGATCGAACGGCCGGAAAAAGCAGGCGACGTGGCACGCTGCCTGGCCAGCTTTTGGAGGCAGGATTATGCATATTCATGTGTCACATTACTCACTTATATATAATATATTGTCGTAGCTAAATGCCCTTCTAGAATAAAGTCGGAAGTTACAAATTGAAAATGTCATAAACTATGGTGTGACAGAAATTAAACATGGATGGAAAATTGGAAATTTAATAATCAAAACTATCTCGATCGAGGCTTTAACTGGTGACGTATAACTGTTTGACTGACTTGAGTGCCAACTACCAACTGTCAATAATTCCCAGGAAATGTGACAGGTAGCTAGGTGTAGGTCGAATATCTGTGCAATTATATATATATATATATATATATATATACCAAAATATAAGAGAGAGAGAGATCAAATCGTATATACATTGTGGTAGCTATCAGTCCCCTTCCTAGAATAAAGTCGTCGTTAGTGCAAGTTGAATATTCAACCCATGCTGTGACAGAAACATGCATGAACGGAAAGAATGGATCACAATTATCTCAAGGCGTTAATTGGTGGCGTGGATCCTTATGGCGTGACACAGTGAAAGGAGGTTGAGTTCCATCAGTTCAGTTCATCGATCAGTGCTGCCTGCCCTGCATTGATATCTGCGATGTGGTGAGTGGAAAACGAGTACGGATATTTTTCGATTGTATTCGAGATATATAATATATATATATATAGGAGTTCAAATCATGTAGAATATCCAGTCCGGATATTCAACATCCGATGCCGAGATCCGTATCCGAATAATCAAATCATATTATTTATGATATCGATATCCAATCGTATCCTATCCGTATATATGGTATGATAATATCCATATATATATATAATCGAAGAGAGAGACAAAATATGAAAACAAGTTGAATATTATTAGTGATATCCGCATGAACGGAAAGAATGGATCACAATTATCTCAAGGCGTTAATTGGTGGCGTGGATCCTTATGTGACACAGTGAAAGGAGGTTGAGTTCCATCAGTTCAGTTCATCGATCAGTGCCTTGCCCTGCATTGCATGCACCACAGCACCAGCGTCCGTCCTTGCTGCAACTTGCAAGGAAGAGTACTCCGTATACGTACGTGTCTACTCTACTGTACTCTAGACTTGCACTGTACTAGTAGTAGTAAAATATTGTTTGATCTTGAATGCCAACTGCCAAAGTGCCAAGTGTCAATAATCCTCAGGAAATGACAGATAGCTGGCTCCAAATCTCGAATAAAAGAAAAAAAAAACTTGTCTGCAATGCAAAGCCTTCCCGGACAGTTAGCTGATTCAACTCCAACTATAGTCGTTGTCCCAATAAATATTTGACACATACATGGAGTATTAAATATAGACTAATTACGAAACTAAATGCACAGATTAAGACTGTTTTGCAAGATAAAAATTTTAAACCTAATTAGTCCATAATTTGACAATGTGGTGCTACACTAAACTTTAGTCATTGGATCCAAACACCATTAAAGACAATGGCTAATGAAATTTTGGCGCAATGTTGACTATGATTAATCAGGCAAAATAAATTATTAAGTCGGCCATACAAATATTTTATGGGCGTGTTTGGTTCGAGCTACTAAACTTTAGTAGCTACTAAACGGGTTAGTCATTTTTGTTAGATAGGACTAAAGCCCTTTTAATAGCTTTTAGTCATAGTGTTTGATTAAAAAGTTACTAAAGTGACTAAAAGCTACTAAATTTAGTAGCTACTGGGCGAACCAAACATGCCCTATATGTTGCTCTAACATATGAGGGCCCATACGAAAATAGTTGCTATTTATGTTGACCATGATAAGTTGACTCGTAATATAATCAGGCTCACGTATATTTGTGGTCTATAATTATTTTTAGACCAAAGGTATTTTTGTGCACATACATGCAAGTATGGACGGTGGCCATACGTTGCTTTAGCTGGTCGTTCAGCACAACTCTCCATGCATGTCAATTAATCCTCTTCTGGTATACATGCATGTCATGTATCCACGTTCTAAACTTCTGATGAGGCCTCCGTACATACGTGTATATGCATATATTTGTCTTACGTTGCGTTCATGGATTAAAATATAACTGATCCCACTGAACAACCTGTGTAGCCTGAGCAGTCCGTTCGGACGCACAGAGCGGTCCATACGGACAGACGGACGTCCGTTTTCTAGCATTATTGTTAACCTAATTACGACAACGAAACTAAAACTGCTATGCTGCAAAAGTAGAGAATAATCTACATCAACTAGGATCCTAGTATCATCATTCTAATTCCTTCAGCCTGTTCGTTTGTTGGTTTCAGCCAACCCAAACCAGCCAGCCAACAGTGTTTTCCTCTCAAAAAAACCAACACCAGCCAGCTCAAACCAGCACCAGCACCAACCAGCGAACATACCCTTGTTGTCACAAACTATCGTTTTAGTACGAAGCGGATACCACATTAAAATTCCTAAATAAATTAGCTGGGATATGTACTAACTAGCATTAGCAATGGCAAAGTAAATATAAGAATGCAATGGTCGTACCATATCACAATCACCCGCAGTGTCGTGAGAGGAAGCTGAGGTTTGATGTGATTTTCTTGTTGCAAGGATCGGATTGACATTAATGTGATTTTCAAAATATATTATTCAATTTATTTATTGATAAATATTTGTCTATAATTTTCTTCATTTTTAAAAGCAAGTAGATATCTAAATTTGAATTTGAACTACCCATTTTGTATTTGCATTCAATAATATTTGTATCCGTATTCGAGTTTGAATTCAAATCAAAATATAGTAAATAGTGCTTTGGATTCGACTCCATGCGAATCTGATTTGAATCCAAGTATGTTAAAAAAGGACGTTTTTTTTTGAAAGATCTGATCACCCGGCTTTAAATTATATTAATAAGAAGGAAGAAGCGGTAACAACAACAATTACATGCGCGAAGGCGCAGCCTAATGCAGTGGCACTGCATAGGCGAAAGAGCAAAGCTGACTACTCACTACTTATTGAGCTACCAGGCAGGGCTAGAACTTTTCCCCTACCGAAATCCAGGAGCAGGTATCCTTGATCTCTGTGAGGACTCTCCACGGATCTCCTCGCTTCTCTGAAAACCATGGCATTTCTCTGCTTCCAAATACACCAAAGGGTTAGAATTACCAGTGTGTGTGCCCTTTTAGTACCTGAGTTGGTCAGCTGGTAGAACCAGTCCTCCATTTATTGATCAGCCGTCCATTGTGAATGATGCAAGTTTAGGCAGCCGGCCCAAAGTGCAACCGGCCAACTTATGAGAAGGAAGGACTGCTCTAATGTACCAGTATATATAATACTATAATATGGCAAATAGCATATAGGAGGGTGTAGGAGTAGCTGATAGCAGCAATTGATATGGCCTATGGGAACAGAGAGAGGATGTAAAATGTTTGGTATTGTTGAAATTTGAAAATCAGACCTTGAGGATATAGGTGGCACCAAAACACCTGAAAAAATCTCCAGAAGAGACAAAATATATTTTTCGCGCATCTCTTGGATTGGATGACGTGAGGCCTTTTGTGTTGAAAGGTCGCCATACCATACACTGTCGTCAAAGAATATAATATTATAGTAATAATTTGGTTGGTTTGCGGACCTGGTTTGGATCGACCTGGTCTTTGGTTTTATCGTAAGATTAAAAAAACTTTGTTGGTTTGGTGTGGGAGAAAAATCTTAAAAAAAAATGGAAAGCGAACAGACCCTATAGTAATAACCGCAAGTTGATTGCTGCATCAGCACCTGAATCGCGTGTCTTGCCAGGAGCTTTCAGCTAGTCTTTCATGACGTAGACGTTTCTGTGGAAAAAAGAAGTTCAGTAGTGTCCTCAGCCCTGTCATCCATGCCTTCTCTCTTGTACTTGGTACAGCAGTATAATGTACTGTACTGTACTATACATAAATCTGCAAAGAATAATATGCCCATACCTTTCTATTACCGGCAGTGGCAACACTTTGTGCAGTGCAGAGCCGTTTTTCATTTGATCCATCATACATCTGTACTTGAATATCCTGAGCATTATACTACTACTATTGTTTGATCACAACTCACAAGTGGCAAGTGCCCCCTGTGCATATGCAATGTGAAAGATTCACATGCTTTTGTCTCAGAGTATAGCTGGTTTGGATGCTCCAAATCCCAACCCATCCCTAACTCAGATGTAGAAAGTTGATACATATGAAACAAAGAGAAGAATAAGAAAGAGTATTCACACTTCATCTCCTACCTTCTAGACTCCTCGATTCTCCCCCTCAGGGGAGGCTAATTTCTTTTGAAGGCCTTTTTTGAAATAGCAGGAAGAGAAGAGCTTGCGTCTAAATGCATGAGAGACGTAACTTCCCTATCTCTCTCTTAATAATAATAAGAAAGATAATATATATAAATAAAGAACATCTTACGATGCAGAATACGTGATGAGATGACATCTAAAATCGGCACCTGACTCTTACTACGCTCCCATGTCCTCATTTGGTGTGAAATGGCTTGGTAAGTTTGCCACCGCTAGCGATGATGTATTGTAGCTAGCGATGATGTATTGTAGCTCCCTCCGTCTCAACACTTCTCAAAGAGTCAATCAATTTTAAATCTAACTAGATTTACAAGAAAATAGCCTCAACATTTATACGTTCAAACATGTTTACTATAAAACTATATTGTACGATTAATCTCACTCGATGTCATAAATATTATTACTTTATATATATATATATATAGTTCTCGAATATAATATGCATAGGATGGAGGGCATTGATGCCACCTCATCATTTTGAGGCTACAGTCCATTGATGTGGCGCGCAACAATTGCTCCGTTGCAAGTTGCCCTTCTTGTTTAATAAACCCCATGTTCTATGTTCTATGACTTTTGTAGAATTTGTTGTGTAGGATAGAAGGATCTAAGGGACTCTGCATAATTTGTTGTATTCACTCCAATCCTCTCGATCACATTTTTATGCAGAAACTCTAGATGCTCTTTTGCGTACCACATGCCAAAGGAATTTCTAGATTTTACAGCATTTGCAAAATGCTACAAACAAAGCACTTCTTAGGCACGGCGTGATATCCTATACTATACCCCATTCTTTTTGAAACAAATGATGTCTAGAACAAGCCGGCTAACTAATTTATAGTTTATCCTAAGCCGGCCTCAGACATGTTTTAAAACGGGGATACCATCAAACGATGCTTCAGGTATAATTACTATCATCGATTGATTCTACTAGTGGCAATCCATAATGAACTAATGGCATTGTCTGTCGCTAGCATCATCATAGATTAAATTAGTAGGAGTAGGAACTAGAAAAAAAATGAAAATAGATGCTGAATGAGAGGTATAACCACCAAACAAAAAAAATCTTCCCCGTCCTACCCATAGCTCTAGACAAAAACAAATCAAATTAGTTTGGCCCTTTTAAATTTGTGGGCATGTTTCGCCAAACTTTATTTATCGTGATGCTCCAATTTCCCATTGTGATCTACGTATTCGATAAAATGAAAGGGGTTATTTGCTAAAAAAAAGATAAATGAAGGGGCAAGTCTAGGTTTGGGTATGAGAAGTGGTAAGCCAGGTCGCGGTGGCATGATGTCACGATTTATTATGAAAATATTCCAAAAAATGTAAATCTTATTTCACGAGAAGTTAAACTATTTTAAAATTTAACTATTTCTTAAAAAGTTATTAACATTTATAATACTGAATAAATTATATTTTTATAGTAATTTTAATTGTAGATACAAATGTTGTTTTTGCTATGTATGAACTTGATTAAACTTATAAAAAAAATAATTTACTCCAAATCTAAAACTGCATTAGCAGCGACCAAGCAACCACCTCCTCCCGTGCTGGCCTGGCTGGTACAGTGCACTGTGCACAGTGGACAACTGCCACACCGCCACACGGGCAGGAGGCACAGAGGGACATTTCCCGTGGATCGCAAGATGCGCGGCATGCGACATCCTGCACGGCGACGCGGGCCCCACCCCTGCGCCTGGAACGGACTCGTGCCACGCGGGCCCCACCACGATCCGCTTCCGCCACGACGCACACGCACGAGGACGGCACGAGCCACCCAGCGGTTGGAAGGAGGCCTGATCGGCCGGTATTGAAGCCGGCTGATACCGTTTTATTACGAGAAAAAATACTAAGCCGGCTGATAAACGATAACCCCACCCAAATCCCAAATCAAATCGAACCCCCACCTCCCCCTGCACTCCTGCAGGCTCTCTGCAACTCCAGCCAGCCGCCCAGCCTGTCCTGGACGTCTGTGGAGCCATCCATCACGAGGCGCAGGCACCAGGCAGAGGAAGAGAGGGGATCCCGGCGGCCTCCCGGGAGCCACGCCACGCACGCACGAGGAGGGGAGTGCCGTTGCCGTCCGTCCGCCGCGGATCGGGATCTCCCTCGCCCGCCGCCCGCCGGCACCCGCCGCATTTGAGGAGAGGGACGACGCGGGGCGATGTGGCGCCTGCGGATCGCGGAGGGGGGCGGGGACCCCTGGCTCCGCACGAAGAACGCCCACGTCGGCCGCCAGGTCTGGGAGTTCGACGCCGCCGCCGACCCCGACCCCGTCGTCGACGCCGCGCGCCGGGCCTTCGTCGACACCAGGCGCCAACTCAAGCACAGCGCCGACCTCCTCATGCGCATCCAGGTGGGTGCCTGCCTTCCTGCACTCCTGCCGATCTCTACCCGCTCGTAATGCCTGCCTGCCCCCCTTCCTTTCCGGCTCCGGTTCCCCACTGATGCGCCCACGCGGCTGCCGTTGCCCTCGCCCGCCCGCCCGCCCGCGTGCATGTCGCCGTCTCGGTCGGTCCGCCGCTGACGGATGGCGTGTTCTGTGGCCGGGCTGCCGTCGCGCGTCGGACTCTCGTACAATTTTAATACGCGGTATGCGAGCCGGGATGGGCTCACATACCGGTATGCGCGGTATGCTCTGGCTCTCGCAGGTTGCAGGGAGGATCATCCTTCCTCTTGTCACGATTTCAGACTTCCTCCGTTTTTCCCCATACATACCGTACTTTACTTTCGGCACCTTTTAAATGTGGTGCTGTCTGCCGTGGTTCAGTTTGCAATTTCTAGTTGCAGCCGTATGTAAACATGACACAGCACATGGTTGAGCACATGGTTCCTGTGGGAGATAATACAGTGTCAACTCTGTGAGGTCTCTTCACCACAGTAACCCTTTCACTGTCACTTTAAAAAAAATCTGTGTGATCTCTTGACCACATTAACCCTTTCACTGTCACTTTTTTCCAAAAAAGAAAACATTTCACTATCCGTTGAAATATTAGTACCACGCGAACTGGTTGAAAATGGACACCGTTTTTGGGAATTAATGTAGTCCAGTCTTGCGCTCAGTATTCCTTTCTTGTGCAGTCTCTGTTTCGGTGTTCTGCTTCCCTGTGAATTTGAAACATCTGCTCCCTTTTACACACTGCAGTTCGCCAAAGAAAATCCTCTTGAGCTTGACCTTCCAGGGATCAAGCTCGGTGAGCATGAAGATGTTACCGAGGAAGCCGTGTCGACTACATTGAAAAGGGCAATCAGCCGTTTCTCTACTCTCCAAGCACACGATGGACACTGGCCTGGGGATTATGGTGGTCCTATGTTCCTTATGCCAGGCTTGGTACCTCCTTCAACTCTACAGTGATATGTTCAACTTGCTTACTTTTACTTCACTTCATCACTTGGGTGTGCATTCCTACGACTAAATCTGTGCTCTGTGTGTAATCTTATGATAAGTTTAAGATGAAATTGTGCTGTCTTGCTTTTCTCATTTCTTGTGCCTCATGTTGTATGTGAGCACAATATATTTTTTCTTGGATTCAGTGCGAGTACCAATTTGGATTCCTCCTAAAATAGGGACTAGCAAATTGTGGCAGGCATCTCATTTTTAGATTATATGGGAAACTTATGTTTCATGTTTCCAGGTTTACAAAACTGACACTAATTGTATATTATTCTTTATCCAGATCATAACATTGTATGTGACTGGAGCACTAAACACTGTCTTGTCAGCAGAACACCAGAAGGAGATCTGCCGGTATCTTTATAATCACCAGGCAAGGATTCAGTTCTAATTTGTCAACCCTACAATGGCTAAAGGTGATCTAATTTTGTCACTGCAACTGTAGAATGAAGATGGCGGCTGGGGCTTGCACATTGAGGGTCCAAGCACCATGTTTGGCTCAGCACTGACCTATGTTATTTTGAGATTGCTTGGAGAGGGACCAGATAGTGGAGATGGAGCCATGGAGAAAGGTCGAAACTGGATCTTAGACCATGGTGGAGCAACATATATAACATCATGGGGGAAGTTTTGGCTCTCGGTAGGGAATTGACTCTTATTTGTTTGATTATTAGCTGCTTCCATTTTCTTGGATCTGCTTTAATCCTTTCTAATTACCTGGCTTATTAAAGGTACTGGGTGTATTTGAATGGTCTGGTAACAACCCGGTGCCACCAGAAGTATGGCTACTGCCATATCTCCTCCCATTTCACCCAGGTTCTGCTTTCTTTTCCTCTATGTACATAAATCTAGTATTTATAGGTGTATATATATACATTCTATCACTCAGTGGTAAAGATTGCTAAGTTGGTTCTAAAGGTTGTATATAGTACGCGTTGAAGATTAAACAATAGATATTCAGCCCTAACTGAATGTTGCAATCACCAATGATATTAGTGTATCATAAAATTGTCATTTATATATCATTCCTTTTTTCATTTTTAATGTGCCAATCGGCCAACAATCAATCTACTTTGCATTACCATAGGTCCGTAGTCTTTCAGTAGTGTTCTCTTGGTTGCTATGCTGTTCCTTTTCCTCATATGATACGCTTTTGTGGTTTATTACAATGTCTTGCAGGGAGGATGTGGTGTCATTGTCGAATGGTGTATTTGCCAATGTGCTACATTTATGGGAAGAGGTTTGTTGGCCGAATCACACCACTTCTGTTGGAATTAAGGAAGGAACTTTTCAAAGACCCTTACAACAAGATTGATTGGGACAAGGCCCGCAATCTATGTGCTAAGGTTTGTTAACTTTTTTGTGTAACGTTTTTTATGGGCATTGATACATTCATACGTATGGGCCAAATTGTGCACAACTTCATTGCATGAGGTTCCACAAAGTTATGTATTAGTCTCCAAGTTGATCTTGTTTTTGGCCAAGGCTGTCCTTAGTCCTTGTTCAGAAATACCACTGCCAAAAGAGCATGCTTAGTTACTGGCACAACCTTGTCGTAACTCTACTTAAAATATATAAACTGTCAAGAAGCTTAAAGAAATTTCTTTACATGTATGCTTAATTGCTTATACTTAGAAACTCTCTTCTTTCTTTTATTTTGTTCGAGAAAAAACATGTAACTTACCAGTTACTACCATGATGGGCCCAATTGATCTGGATCTGTACTTCTTTAGTAAGTATGGGATCCATCTTTCACATAATGTGTCTCAAAGTCCCTTAACAGTCATTAACTGTCAAGTGATGCTATTTGAAAAGATGCTTAGTTCTGAAAACTTAAAGGAACTTTAATTTTTATCTTTCTTCGCCTTTGAGGAGTCCATTTTGGATCCTGATTATTCTGTCTGAAGTAGTTTTGATACATTTGTGCTGCAGGAAGATCTGTACTACCCACACCCATTCGTTCAAGATGTGTTATGGGCCACTCTCCATAAATTCGTTGAACCAGTTATGATGCATTGGCCTGGCAGCAAATTGAGGGAGAAAGCTCTGGAAACAGTCATGCAGCATGTTCACTATGAGGATGAGAACACTCGTTACATTTGCATTGGTCCTGTAAACAAGGTAAATTGAGGGCTATCATTGCTTGCTGAACCTTTACAAAAGGAGGTGTAGTCTTATTTAAGGCCATATGCTAGTGACTTTGATATAGATTTATTTACTCTCCAATAAGAAAGAAGCCGATGCATTTGTGATTTCAGTGCTTCCTTTAACTTTCAGCTTGTGCTTCCTTAGCTTACTATGGCATTAAAATGATTAACCCTCCCGTTACAATCTTCACCTTTTTTAACCCATTACTTTCTCCTGAATTGCCTGACTAAAATATTCCTTCAGTCCTCCCCAGATTTGTGTTAAATATTACAATAGCTGCCGTGGGTTATGTGATTTGTCACTTCTTCCGCCTCATTCGCTATGATTGTCCTGTGATCTGTATCTTGTAATTCATGAAAAACGCATTCTATGCTACAAGTACTCGTGATTTTGCTAATTGTATCCAGTATATGCAATCCACAGTCCTTTGTAACAGCATAGGATTATGCCAAACAAGACATTACTTGAATGATATATTCAAATTATGGAATTGTTTTTCTTTCTCTTTCTGCTCCAACGATTTGTATTAACAAAAAATATCCTTCTGTTAGTGCCTTGATGTCTGGGAGACTGGGATGGATTCCTCTGTCTTGACTCCTGAGTATTATTTGATTTCTGACTCTCATTATGTCATTTTTGTTGACTTAAATCACTTCTGCTAATTTGATGATGTTCAGTTTATGCTCATAGGTTGTGAAACTTTTATTAGAAGTGTATACTGTGATTTATTTCTTGATTATTTCTTAATGTTGTTCGACTAATTTCTGAAATTCTGTGCAGGTATTGAATATGCTTGCTTGCTGGATTGAAGATCCAAACTCAGAGGCCTTCAAACTTCATATCCCACGAGTCTATGATTACTTGTGGCTTGCTGAAGATGGCATGAAGATGCAGGTGATTATTGCTTATTCTGTGGCCCATTTCCTTTTACTTAATTAACTTCCTATCCTATTTGGCAGCTGCAACAGCAAACCTGTCAACATATAATATTTTACTGTCTCTTAATGGGATTGGCAAATTGTTTTGGCATCTTCAATCTAGCCAGCTCTTTCCACTGTAGGGTTATAATGGCAGCCAACTTTGGGATACAGCTTTCGCAGTTCAAGCCATTGTGGCTACCAACCTCATTGAAGAGTTTGGTCCCACCCTTAAACTAGCACACAACTATATCAAGAATTCGCAGGTACAGTTGACATGCCTTTTTGTCTATATTGTTCAATCTTAGGTCCATTTACAGCCCTGATAAATGGCTTTTTAATATGAAAGGTTCTTGATGACTGCCCTGGTGATCTGGATGACTGGTACCGCCACACATCTAAAGGTGCATGGCCATTCTCAACTGCTGATCATGGTTGGCCTATATCTGATTGCACTGCTGAAGGACTAAAGGTGAATTCAGTCATGAGCATTACCAATAAGGAAATTTATTTTAGAAGGTTAAAATTTTGTCAAAGTTTAGCTTTGTTCCTTCACATTTATGTTCCAGCATTCTTGATAGTATAGTGTCTGGCACGTTGTCATAATTTCATAATTATTTGTTCTAATGAATAGTAATTGCTCATTTTTCTTTTACTCCAGGCTTCATTATTGTTATCAAAGATCTCTCCCAAAATTGTTGGTGAACCGGTGGAAGCTAATAGATTTTATGATGCTGCCAGTTGTCTAATGTCTTATATGGTAAGCATCCTGAATTTTTTCATCTTCTCGCAATTGTTGCTATTGAATCAATTTTTAACGCAATGGTCGATTCTGTAAACATTGTGTGCATTATGGAAAAGAAGACTCCTTGAATTGGCAGCAGCCCTTTTATTATACTGTGGTCATATATCTTATTTAAATTCTATGCAGTTTCTCATTGATTCCAATGTTCTTATGTGTTTTGAATAAATCCGTTGGAGGGAGCATGTCTCATTAGTTTGCATTAACCTTTACAGAATGGTAATGGTGGTTTTGCGACATATGAACTCACAAGATCTTATCCCTGGCTGGAGGTAGGTGGATGAACTTCTTCGAAACCCTCCACACACCGCACCACAAAACACACATACGTGCATAATGCAGACATCTTTGTGCATGTCTAAGCATGGCAGTATTTTAAGTTCATGTTTGCACGCTCTCCCTCTGAAATGTGAAGTTACCTGCCACTTTTCTACTTTGTGAAGTATAGAACGGCAATCGCCAAGTTAATCAGGCAACTTGTGAATTTCTTAATTATTCCCATTTGACATTGAGTAGAAATACATACTAGATAAGATATTTGTTTTGTTTCAAAACAGAATAATTCATCAGCATTCGTTGAATCTTTCATATTTCATCTATATTAACATTGTTTCTTAAATTATTCAGCTTATCAATCCTGCTGAGACCTTTGGGGATATTGTGATTGATTACCCGTAAGATGCAGTAACCTTTCATTGTGCTGATTTTTACTTATAAAACAAATTGAAGAAACATAAAACCCATTTTGCAGGTATGTTGAATGTACATCAGCAGCAATTCAGGCCCTGACATCATTCAAAAAACTATACCCTGGGCACCGCAGGAAAGAGGTGGATAACTGTATCAGCAAAGCTTCTAATTTCATTGAGAGTATTCAGAAAAGTGATGGTTCATGGTCAGTATTTGGACTCCATGCAACACAAAATACCAATTAAACAGATTCGTTATTTTGGAAGGTGCCTCCAGATAGCCTTCATTGCCTTCTATATGTTTATCTGTTTCCAACAGGTATGGCTCTTGGGCTGTTTGTTTCACATACGGCACTTGGTTTGGTGTGAAGGGACTAATTGCTGCTGGTAGAACATTTGAGAACAGTCCTGCAATCAGAAAGTCATGCGACTTTCTGTTATCAAAAGAGCTTCCTTCCGGTGGTTGGGGAGAAAGCTATTTATCATCTCAAGACCAGGTAAATTTACTTCTGTCAGTTTCTTTAAAATAATAGGACTTAACAGTGTTATGGATATACTGGCAATGTTGTTTGCTGCATTATGTTACCTATTCCAATTTTCATCATCTGTGTGCTACAGTCAAGATTTTAGGGCAACTTGCTTTTAGTTTTAGATTTATATAACGTACCAAGCCCAGAGAAAACCTGTCTATTTAGAGCGCATCATTTTTTCTGAAGATTTTGGTACGAATAGATAGCAGTTGAAATGACCTGCCATTGAGCATAACAGTGGTGTAGTGTTGATTCTTATATGCATATAGACTTCTTGGAATTGGAAAGGACTTTGCATTAACCATCTCTTGACGCACTCAATCAGGTTTACACCAATCTCAAAGGCAACCAACCTCATGCAGTGAACACTAGTTGGGCCATGCTGGCACTGATCGATGCAGGACAGGTCTGTTATTTAGCTTGTGGCTTTGGATACTCTGATAAGATGTGCACATTTGTTATGGTACTCAAATCTCACCCATACAGGCTGAGAGAGATCCAACGCCTCTACACCGAGCAGCAAAGGTTTTGATCAACTTGCAATCAGAGGATGGAGAATTTCCTCAGCAAGTAAGTAATAATTGGTTCACAGAGATACTAAGCCCCCCTTTGGCAGGGCTTTTTTGCTGCTCCTCGGCGGCCGGTGTGGCCACCTTAAACGGCGACAGTAAAGCGGCTTGCGGCAAGAAGCCGGCAAAGCCCCATAAAACCGGTGACTCGGTTCCTCCCACGCGAGAAGCCAAAAATCTTGGCTTATTCCGGCTCGAGCTCGTCACTTTCCATCCCCGTCCCGACTTGCTCTCTCCCCGATGCCTTGTGGCCGACGACGCCGCCCCCCACGCCGCCCGTCGGCCTTGAGCTCCGCCGCCCGGCTTCTCCATGCTCCACTCCGTCGGCCTCGAGCTCGCCCCCCGCCGGCCTCTCCTGCTCCGCTCGCCCCGCCTGGCCCTCCTGCTCCACCCCGCCGGTCTCCAGCTCCGCCCCGCCGGCCTCGAGCTCTAGCTCCGCCCCACTGTCGGCCCCTCCCTGCTCCGGTGGGCCGGCCTCGAGCTTCGCCCTGCCGGCCTCCCTCCTGCTACGCCCGAGAGAGAGAGAGAGAGAGAGAGAGAGAGAGATGGATGGAGGGAGTGGGTGCCGGTAAGGAGTGAGGCCGTTCGGATAAGGAGAAGAAAAGAAGGGAGAAGGAAAGAAAAAGAAAAAAAAGAAAGAAAAATGAAGAGAAAAAAGAAAAAAATATATAAGGGTATTTTGGACATTTCACATCTTCTTTACACTAGGAGAAGCCGTTTTGCCAAACGTTTTCGTACAAAATAAGCCAGAGTCAGAAAAAGTTGCTTTTCCATATGAGCCAGAGCCAGAGCTGTTTTTTCACGAGCCGGAGCCATGCCAAACGGGCCCTAACCTTAATCATTTTTCCATCAAATATAATCTCAATTTAAAAACTTTGCTCTAGAAGCAAATGGGTAAAAAAAATGGTTGGTTATATTCTAGGCATATGTATATTGCTGAGACAAAGGAAGCTGTGGTCTTACGTAGCGATTCCTCTTTTTTTCTTGATATCTAAACATCTTATTATTTTAGTCATCTCAGTTTGTCTTATTGACCCAGGGTTAGTCGCTGGTTGCATGGACATTTCACCTTTTTTCGTAACTAACTATTGCACCACCTAACACAGGAGATCATAGGAGTGTTCAACAAGAACTGCATGATCAGTTACTCCCAGTACAGGAACACCTTCCCAATTTGGGCTCTGGGAGAGTACCGGTGCCGAATCTTGGGGGCTGGCAAGCAGTAGTGCCTGTGCCCCCATCAACTAGATTGAAAGGCACTTTGTTGCCTTGTGGCTCTATCTTGGCACGCCAAGGACTGTCTTGCCGGTGAATCAGCTTTTTGTGAGTAGCCATGTGGCAATTGGAATAATGTAGCTTTGTTCAGGAGTTGCGCTCCTAGTTCTAATAATAATAATAATAATAATGTATATTGAAAGTGGGATAATGTTAGATTCAGGTATACTCCGTTCTTGTGCAAATGATGTGATGTAGTCGGAGCTGCGCGATTGTCAGTTGACTTATTACAGTCTCAAAGCGGTGCTGCTGGCAAAGTGGCAATTCTGGTATCTGGTATGCCCTGTGCCATGCAATTTTGCTCCTCTCAGATCTCAGTCACGCACCTGAGAAAGTTGGGAGAATCAAATCCAATCGGCGATAGAGTTCATATCTGCCTATTGTCTGCTTATCGATTACAGTTTTTCAGAGACGGCATGCAGGTTACCCGTGGGCTCCATGTGTACCCCTGGCTTCCTGCAGCATTCGGATGCCTTCGCCGTAGTCGATGCGCAGCGTCGTCGCCAAGTACTGCGACTATCAACACAACCCCCGATTATATATAAGATGAAATTGGTGATTATATATCCTGTATGTATCTGAACCTAGCAGACGCGCATGCTTTGCTTGCCTTCAACGGTTCCAAGGGGTACTGCCTCTGGATGGCCTCCACCTCCTTGGTGCACCTGTCGTTCAGGTGGTCAAATATGGGTCATGGCGACGAGCAGGAACAGCTCCAGCTCCTTCGTTCTTCCTGCAAGCCGGCCTGAGGGAGGATCGGAGGAGATGAAATAGTGATTGAACTGCTGCGCTGCAGTGCAGCCGCAGCCAGCAGGCCCAATGCCTTCAGCTCCAAACCTGTAGGAGTTAAACTGCATTGTTGTTAACAGTAGGACAAGTTAGGTAGTGTCATGCATGTAGCCACAACTGTCAAATTCAAATTTCAACCCGAGGATCAATCAAGAGGATGAAATGGCTGATCCAGAAACCATCTTTGAATTTTGAATTTTACCAAACTATTGTAAAACTGGTTTGTTATAGTAAGATCTCTGACCGCGGGAGGATTCACGCTCTCTCGATGCCTCTGCTACTGTGACGCGCGGCTGCCTCTGTACAAGCCTCCTCTTTCTCTGTAAGTCTCTCCTATCACTCTCAAAAATATGTTCCTACTCGCTCGCCCATCGCACGCTTCACGTGCGCCTGTCAGCCCGCCCCACTCCGCATTCACCGCAGCGGCCATCTCCCTACGGCCTCATCCTGCGTTGCTCGCTCCTCGCTCCTGCCCGTCGCATGCCCCACCCATGCCTCTCGCTTCTTGCTCCTGCAGTCCCACCCACCCGCGCCGTCAGGCGTGCCGCACACCTCTGCTGGTGCTGGTGGTGCCGTCGCGCGCCTTACGTCAGTCCCCACCGAGCCTAGAGCACCCACGGGCGCGACCCGTGGTGGTGGTGCTTGTGCGCTGCTGCTCGGTGCCGGCTCCCACTCTGAGTTCAGAATCAACCGGCCCTTACCTCTCACTCCCTCCAATCTTGCAAATGTATGTTTCAGATGTTATCAGAGGTATGTTGTAAATATTTTATATGGATGTTGCAAAAGTATATGGGATGTTGCATATGTTGTAAGTGTTTTAGAGACATGTTGCAAGTATTTCAGAGGCATGTTGCAAGCATTTGTTCAAAATATTTTATCTGTTTCAGACGTATGTCGCAAGCGTTTTGTATCTGGATGTTGCACATGTTTTACATATATGTTGCAAGAGTATATTCGAAATGTTTAAGCTATTTTCCGTTTTATGTTGCAATAAGTGTTTTTATGTTGCAAGTTGCAAGTGTTTTATCTAGATATTGCATATGTTTCACACACATGTTATAGGTGTATGTCCCAAATATTTCATATGCTTTAGACGTATGTTGCGTTCAAGTGTTTTATGTTGTAAGTGTTTTCGTGTTTCAGAGCTACGTTGAGATAGTTATGGGGTACGGCCGGGCGCCGTAGGAAGGGGCACGGCGAGCCAAGGACGCGCAGCGCGCCGACGGGGCATGCTCGACCTGATCACGGCTCCTGGATGCCGCCCGTGCGGAGAGAGAGAGAGAGAGAGGATGGGGTTAGGGAGAAGGAGCATTGGACGTGGGGTGGGGCGAGGCGGACGGGGCTCGGACGAGGCGGATGGGGACAGATGCGGCTCATGCAGCCGCGAACGGCGCAGTGGCAGGCGCGGGGGTCGCGCGATGGCGTTTTACGATGGGCTGTTCTACTAGGCCGTTCGGTGAGAGTGTGCTCAGGCCGTCCGACAGAATCCTATGCCGGACATCCGGAAGTCAGCATTCCGGGCTGGAAGGGGAGGCGGCGTCTCCATGATCGTGATTTGTGAGGCAATTCGTGTTCCACGCGACTCGTCCATGGGAGCCAAGGCCAAGGCAATTGGTGTGGCACTAGGGTCATCTCCGACCAGAGCCGCTACCTGGCGAACTGTCGACGCTTCGTGTCCTCTGCCTCTAACCTCTAACTCACCTCCGAGCTAAACTGCTGCCTGCTCTCCATTCTCTCCCATTGGCATGGACGGTAGGTCTTCATGCCCCCATAATGCCCCCGTGCACCCATGGGAGCAGGCTGCAGCAGCCTCTCGTACGTTCATCGTCTCCATCATTATGCTACACCATTGGCCCAAGGGTGAAGAGGTCCATGTCGCCACTGCAGTTTACAGGTATGATGCTATATTTCAATCATTCAGATGTGGATGGACAGTTTGAAAGGAAAGGAATTTTTCTGATTGCTTGATTTGAAACTCGATCCGCAGTGGCTAGACAGCCGCCGAGTATTCCAGTTTAAGAAGAGATCTTCTCACGCAGATCGAGAAAACCCCAAACTCCTGCTGCTGAGTCGGACTGACCAACCGGTCAGCCGACCGTTCCCGATTGCTTGATTTGGGCAATCATTTTTTAGTTGTTTACCAATTTCATGTCATTTCCTGGTACGAGGATTCATGTAAAATCGCCCTGCTTCCCCATTGTTGTGAGATTAGAGTTTACTTGCCAATCGCCATCTAATCTGAATCTAAAACGAGCTTGGATACATATAGTGATCCAAAGTTACTTACATGGCAGATATAGGTAAGTCTGCTAATCTGGATCTAGACCGGATGTAAATTACTCTGCTAAACCTAAAGGTAAGTTATTGAAGTAGAAGCCGACTTTGTTGTGAATGGGTGATGGTGTGATACTATGCCTATATGTGGATGATATATTAATATTTGACAACAATCTAAATGTGATCAAAGAAGTAAAAGATTTTTGTCGAGTAACTTTGAGATGAAAGACTTGGGTGAGGTGATGCTCACAATATGTTTTTATAGTCTTTGCAAGCATAGGTCCCAGTGTTCATTTGAGGAAGAATCTTTGATTGCAAGAGACCAATTGAGATATTCACAGATAATTTATATTCCCAGATTTGCTTCTCTAAGTTTATTTATCATATGTTTTTCTAGGACTTCATCTCTAAATTGGCTTCAGAAAAGACATGGCTGAGTCAGGGTGTGATGACAGGTTAGGGATGAAAATTCATATATTTCTAGAAAGGCAGTGCCTCCAGCAGAATAAAATTATCCATGCAGAGTCCTACTTTGATTAGAAGAACACGCCCTGTAAACATCGCCTCAGTGGTCAATATCTATTTGTATGATGTGTAAGCCTTCTCTGTCTCAACTTCATAATTCATTTTCAATTTTCAGTTAGAGGTCAGTCATGATCA